AGGCGATTTTTCTTCACAGTTGGCCTTGGAACTAATCCTTGCCAACACAACAATACCTGCCAGGGGCCTAATGGAACCAAGTTTGCAGCCTCTATTAACAATATCTCGTTTTCAATGCCAACAACAGCTCTTCTTCAAGCTCACTTCTTTGGACAATCAAATGGGGTTTACAGCACTAAGTTTCCTAGCGCTCCCATTATTCCTTTTAATTATACAGGAACTCCACCCAATAACACAATGGTTAGCAATGGAACAAAGCTGGTGGTGCTCCCTTTCAACACTAGTGTGGAGCTAGTGATGCAGGACACAAGCATACTCGGGGCAGAGAGTCACCCACTTCACTTGCATGGCTTCAATTTCTTTGTTGTTGGTCAAGGTTTTGGGAATTTTGATGCAAATAAGGATCCTGCAACCTTCAACCTGGTTGACCCTGTTGAAAGGAACACCGTTGGCGTACCTTCAGGTGGTTGGGTAGCAATTCGGTTTCTGGCAGACAACCCAGGTTAGTATTAGCAAGCAGAAAAATGAATTCCAACAGGGAATGTATTATTGTTAAGAATTAATCAACCCAAATATTGTTTATCAAACTTTATAACGTTGTTAATAGGTGAGATACATTCTATTTGTTGAGTTGATCCAATTTTTTTATGATGATTGAAATATCAACTGTGCTGACAGGGGTATGGTTCATGCATTGCCACCTGGAAGTCCACACTAGTTGGGGTCTTAAGATGGCTTGGGTTGTTTTAGATGGAAAACTCCCCAACCAGAAGCTACTGCCTCCACCAACTGATCTTCCCAAGTGTTGATCACATGACTCACTTCTTTATACAAGCTGATATTGATTCTCTGGCAATTTTTTTTCCCTCATTTCAAATTTCCCGATTTTATTTTTGGTTCTTTTGTTGTTCCAGAGGAAAAAGAGGGAGGACTCTTTTTTGTAACACCCAGATTCTTGTAAGGTCAATACGAAAGGTCTTAATAATACTGTCAAAAAAAATTAACCTAAACATTACTCTTTGATGCCTTTCATCTTTCTGGTGCATATTTTACTGCATATCAGAGACAAACTCTTTTGATGGTATTTTACATCTATTGCTGATAATATATGTGTGTGTATATATATTTACATGGGGAAGGATGGTTTTGTTACCCCAATAATCAGACGCAACCAGAAACTTGTTTATGTTTGAAACATCATGATCAAGTCCCTGAAAAGCTTAAGTACCCCGGTTGCCATATCAATAATGAAGATATGGTGAATGATTAATAGAAATGGTGCCAAAGTTTCAAGTAGGTAACATAACATGCACATGAATGGATATACTAAAGAAACTCCATGGCCATGAGTTAATAAGAATAATCTCTGCTACCTCCTTTTTTTCGAGCTAAAAGTGTAGAAATATATTGAAAATGGGGCGCCAACCTATATACAAAAGCTCTGCTACCATTGTCATGTACACGATAAACAAAGTACTATATACACATATCCATAGATATATATTCTCTTTCATCCAGAAATCCAAAAAAAAAAAAAAAAACACTGAATTTTTCGATCCTTCCTGATCTCATTCATCAACCTGTACAATATTCTTCCTGGGTCTGCACTTAGATCACTAGGCACTAGAAGTTTGATACATGGGTCACATAATTGCCTTTTTTTTAAAGAGAGAGACAAAATAGTAACTAGTATTAACAGGCACTAAGAGAGAATAATTGTTAATTTTTAGAAAAATAATAATAATTTTATTTTTTACCCTACGTATTATTATATTTAAAATATTTATAAAATTTCTAAACTACTAATAAAAAAATTTTTATTCTATTAAAATTCTAATTATATGAAATTATAATTTTAATAAAATTATAATTACATCATTTTAATTAATTAAAATAAATAATTAAATAATAAAATATAGCAGTCAACAATAACCTAATTACAAAAATTGCTTGACATGTGATACAACCATGAAATTAAAAATTGATGTACATTTCACATAATTGAAATTGGTATTTCTCTGCAGTACAATTGAGTAACTCCTTGATTCACTTCCAGCAGAAATTTTTATTGTTGTATGTGTTCTTTTTTTCCAGCAGTTTTAATCTATTTTTCTACGGACCAATTTATGGACAAAATTGCCTTTTTTTCTTTTGGTGAGATTTAAGAGAAAACTTGTCTTTATAAAATTCAGATTTCCTATAATGTTGATGTAAAAGTTCTCAATAATATTGCCAAAAAGATTAAATTTTCAATTGTTTTTGTTCATCTTTTCCAATGTTCAGGGAGAAAAAAGCTAATTAATCCCAAATTTATATTCTTGAACTCTCCACTGCTTGCCGAAAGTAGCAGAAAGTTATTTTGTTTTTAATTTTTCTTTTTGAGTGGATGTAGCTAGTTGTGAATATCTTAGTTCACTCATAGAGATTAGCTACTTTAACCAAGCCATGTTGTTAGCAGATTCCAAAGCAGCAGTCAATACCAGTGATAAAGTTTTTTTTAACTATTCTAATCAGCAGTTTTTGATTTATCCGGCCATTTATTATCCACGCACACACTGACATTATCAAGAAAATCACCAAGATGACTTTAGGCAGGAAAAATACGAACATCTAACACCCTCATTATTAATATATTTTTGTAACTAGAAGTGCTCCAAAAAAAAAAAGAAAATGAGCCATTCCTGTTTATATATGATATTTTGGTCAAGAAAAAAAACCTGCTGCTGTACCCAGTCCTTGGGGTCATGGCAGCCAAGATTCTTAGCATCTCCTTTGACTGCATATAAGAGCCAGAATAGAATGGTCTTAGTCATCCTAACAAGCATAATCTCAGATTTACAACTGCATCCTCTACACTAAGCATCTGCTACTACCATATGAAACCTATCGTAAATCCAACACAAAACACAGATGAATTATAGACATGCACCTGCATTGTACAGATAATAGATGTAAAATTTCACATTAATCTGGATTATCAATCCAGGCCCTGTATCCAATTTAAATCAAGACTAGTTAGTAGGCACTTGATATTTTGGTAAATGTCTACTTGAGCAAAAGCGAAGAAATTATGTTTGTTTTGTCCCCGTAATCACAATGAGAGAATATTGGTATGGATGAGACGACACTAGCACCAAAACGAATACTTTCCTAGTAACAAAATTTAAATAAGCGCAAGGAAGAATATACTTCAAGTATATTAAGGCCGTTGCATGGAAACAAATATCTTGTTGGTAGAGAACGATCTAAATATTCCTGAATCCAATAAATACCAGTCTCATAAACAAGGATTCCACTCCAGCTTGCAACAGCAATGTATTTCGTAAGTTCCTTGTTTCTCTCCTTCTTCAAGCCTTGTTCATTGCATTATTATCATTCCAAGTAAAATCAGAGAACTCCAAGCTCTTCAGAGAATACATAGGAGCTGAAGATAAGGGTGTTATATTCTCAGATGTACCCATCAAGTCCAGTGTTGAAGTTCACTTCATCCTATCCTTTGCCACTGACTATAGTGACACATCCTTCCCAGCTTCTCCCACCAATGGAGACTTCCATGTATATTGGGATATGGAAAACCTCTCCCCTTCCCAAGTTTCCTTCATCAAAACCCAGCATTCTAATATCATGGTTGCTATGAGTCTTGGTGGTGATACCATAAATGACCAATATGTCCATTTCAGCCCTAAATCAATTACTTCTTGGGTTAGAAATGCTATTAAATCAATAACAGAGATAGTAAGCAAGTATGACTTGGATAGAATTGATATTGACTACGAGCATTTCCATGCAGATACAGATACATTTTCTGAGTGCATTGGACAACTTCTTGTTCAACAAAAACAAAATCAAGTAGTGAAATTTGCATCAATAGCACCATATGATGATTCTTCTGTGCAACCATATTACTTGGCCCTGCGGAAGACTTACGGCCATCTCATAGACTATGGTAACTTTCAATTTTATGCTTATGACAGGGGGACTACTGTTTCTCAATTCTTGAAATATTTCGAAAAGCAGAGCACTAGATATAAAGGAGGAGAGGTCCTAGGGAGCTTCAGCACTGACGGAAACGAGGGCTAGTCTCCTAATAATCGATTTTTTAAAGCTTGCAGCAGGCTTACGCAACAAGGTAAACTCCATGGTATATTTATCTGATCAGTAGATGACTCCAAGAAGACTGGTTTCTGCTATGAGAACCAGTCACAGAACTTTCTAGCTAGCAATAAATGACCTCTCTCCACTTATTTATTGTATTGGGCATTAAGTCCCTAGAGATGTTATGGAAAGCCTACTCTCACAACTCTCTTGCATACAATTATCAGTGAAAATTCTTGGTTCTATGATTGTGTGTGCCATGTCAAAGTGCAAGTAAATAGGAATTTCCTTTACACAGGCCAATATCTCTTCCAAATTGAAACACTCTAAACCAAGCTATCCACACCTAATATAAACACTAAACAAGAATGCCAAGGCGCCCATAAGTCTAGAAAGTATTACACACCTGCTTATTCAGTTGTTCAATAATCATGTCTAAACTCCCTAGCAGATGCAGGACATGTACCAACGGTGGGTTCTTTCTGTAGTTTTGATTTGTCATAAATGATCCACATAATGCAAATATTTAACTAAAGTAAAACTGGGGAGCAATAAAATAAAAGCAAAGTTCCACCAAGAAGAGGCATCAATTGTAAACAAATTTCATTGAAGACTATAATTGGATATGAAATACAGGGAGAGCATTACCCCTAGAAAGGTAACCAAAATGAGCTTCTAAGCCACAGATTGCTTTGAAGCTCTGAAATCAAATCTTCTTCAATCCCCAATAGAAACACTATTAAGAAAATCATGCTAAGCGTTATTTCTTAACAATCTCTTCGCTTTTTCTCCTCCTCTTTTTCTTACTCCGACGCTCCTCGGAACGCAGGTCCTCTCCCTCGTAAGCCTCTTCACCCTCCTTCTTCTCTTCCCTACTTTCTGCTAATATCTCCATCTTGACCCCATCTCGCGTTTTGCCAATTGGACATTCGTTTTCCACGAACTTAACATTCTCAACCCCGTCATCCTCGTTCTTGATCTTCTTCTTCTTGTGCTTCTTTCTCTCCTTATCCACCCCTTCAAGGCCCTCAACTTCATGGCTCCGTTCTCCTCGACCCAACGGAATCAGCTTCTCCTCACCCTCAATCTCAAATTTAACCCCAGCACTCTCATCCTCGTTTTTCACGAAATCATCAAACTCACCCCTCTCCTTCTTCTTCTTATTACGGTGTTTCCCTCCCTCAATATTCTCCCCTTGACTCCTTTCCTGGCTTAACTCAGCGAGATGATTCGGCTCCCCGTCAGCATCAATCCTTGTTGGCGGGTTTTGCTCCTGAGAAACATCAGGCTTCGGCCATCTGCGTTTTCCGGACGACTTGGATGAGTACTTGAGCTCCTTGTGGAGGTGAGCAAGCTCAGTGAATGCGGCCGAGGCGCGTCGTACGTAAGCGCTGATGGCTTGGGATGCACCGTTTTCGGCGGCGGCGAAGTTGGAGATTATCGAAGCGGCTTTGGAGAGAGAGATCGGAGCAGTTGATATCACTTTTCCTGATACTGTCTTCATCGTTTAAACTTAGGTTTTTAAATAAAGACTCTAGGGTTTAAGGTACATTGATGGTGGTTTCGTTGAACCACGTAGCCAAGGGGTGGAAGAAGATGAGTGACTTTGGCGCGAAGATAAAGACGGAAGAACCGATAGTGAACAAGAACGAGCCGTCTGTCCGAGAGAAAACAAGAAAAAGAACGGAGGAGGGCGATGGCAAGGAGAAAGGGTAACGGCTGTTTTACAGAAGGAAGAAGCTTAGGGCAAGAACAAAACGGGCTAGGGCTAGGCCTGGTCTTGGTTTTATAATTAGACCGTGTTGGTTTGGGCTTCAATTTTCCATTTTTTATTTTTTTTTATTTTTTAATTTTTAATATTTTTTTAATAATAATAATGTTGGAATTTTATAAAAAAGAATAAAAATATAAATTAATTGAATAAATTGATTTACTTTATAATA